AGACAGTTTTGCTTGTCCAACTTCAAACGGTGATAACCGGAGCTAGAGAACCCCAAATGAGGCATGTGATACCTTGTTGGAAATATAATTGAGTCTAGATTAACATACTGAAAGATGAGAATGTTATCACAAGTGAGTTGCGCACAGTGACAAAAAAAGAAGAGTGGACATTTATAGGAAAATCGTAAAAGTGAGATTTAGGCTAAGTGAGTTTATGAGAACCCCTTAGTAACTTATAATAATTAATATTCAAGGTTATGAATGATATATATTGATGATAAATGTCTTGATTAGTTATAAGTTAAGTGAAAAAGGCCTCAATCTAAAAGAGTTTATTAATGGACTAAGTGTCTAATGAGTTATTGTGGACTTAGGGAACAAATGAACACCTTACGTACCCTATGTATGTCGCAGCCATGAAGGATATATATGGCTAGGATGAGTTAAAAATAATAAAAGTTATCTTAGTTGCCTTAGAGTGTAATTCTAAGTTGATTGAAGTGCTTAAATCATACAGTTAATTTTGTTGTAAGATAACAATTCCTTATGAACTAAAACATGTAATTATGTAATTAATGGTCTAGACTTGTGTTGGGGATATTATTTCCATATAAGTATGTAAAGTGGAATCATTAAATGGTTAAGTCTTGTATATGACTTGGTTAATTACTATTTAATTAATGATGTGAATGATTCCTACTCTAGGTGTGCCTAGAGAACCTTGCACTTGAGGATTTATTTAGAGCATACGTGTTATATTGGAGCGTGGGCTTGTGCTAAGCTCCTTCAGATAAGATCCTGGTTTTGGTTGCTCCCCTCTCTTGTGGCCCCACCATGATGATGGGCATTATGGTTGAATGGTATGAAAGTATGTGATATGTGGTATATGTGCATTTATTCACATTCATATAGATATTATATGATTCTTGATGTTTTGATGATGCACTGATGATGTATGTTTTGAGGTTCCTGGCCAGTGAATATGTATGTAGGCTGCCTATGGCTTGACCCTGAGAGTTATTTCATACTACAGTTTGTGTTGATTGTTTATGGCTTGACCCTGAAAGTCAAAATAGGCATGTTGGACATGTTAGTTAGCTATTCTTGGGAAGAGCACTTGAATAGTTAACCAGACGATGATGTATGATGCTATGTTTATGCTGTATGTTTGTTATATATGCTTTATATTTTACTTGTCATACAGGAAGTGAGCTCAGAGGATTAGAGGATTCTCTGAGAACCTTGAGCTTACTGAGATGTTGTTATCTCACCTTTTTTTGGGGACATCATTTCAGGTACCCATGGTAGCAGTGTGCAGTCTAAGGGCAAGGGCCCAGCTACGGATTAGTGGATTGAGGCTGCTGTTTATTTTATGCTGTTATGTTGTTATGTGGCATGTGTAGTGTTTTGACATGCCTAGTTAGCTTATTTTGAGACTATGTTGCTGTATGTAATAATGCTCAGGTTTGTTATTAATTGAGCTTCTGGATTATGGTTGTTTTGTTACAAGTTATGTTAGATGCATGTGATGAGGACATATAGACATGATGTATGGATGTATTAATTTGGGCACGAAGCCATTATTTATGTACTGACCCTATGAGGGGATTGCAGTCCGTATGGGACTTGCAAGCTCTCTGTTATGTAACTATGTTTATTAGGTGTGATTGTGTATGAGATTCTTATCTCTCAGTTATCCGTTTAACAACCGTTATGCTGTCCATGAGACTCTGGCAGGAATAACACTTGTTGTCATATCCGGTTAGTCAATGGCCACTAATACTATCAAATATGAATAATTAGTAATTATGTGTTTTAGATTTATGCTTTCGCGATATCTCCTGTGAACGTTTTTAGAAATATTTTCAGAAAATGTGTTGGAAAAAGTTTATTCGTATTTTTACAAGACGTTTCTTTAATTATTCAATAAAACCTTCCGCTGTGTATGCTATAATATCATGATGTTAACAACAGAAGTATTGTTGGGTGTTATAGGTAGAAAGAGCACAAAATAGAGGTAAAGAAGGAGGTTGGGAGAAGAAAGTAAAGAATAAAATCTATTAGAGATATTTAGGACCAACCAAATAATTTGTGTGTTTAAACCTACTTGAATTTGTGTTGGCCTTGCCCATAAACTATTCTGCAGGAGTTTGACAAAAATGCTCTGAACCCCGATCACATCTTGAGTCATATGTTCTACCATATTCATGTATCTTCAAGGTGGATATAATAATAAATAATTTGGAGCCGTCTTCAACCAAGAAGTAGCACCTCGTTGATTTTACCATCCTTTTCTCTATAAAGACGTGTAGGTATGCATTTTTTTGATTGAATAAAGTATATTTATTTTGTTTTGATACTTATAATGAAAAAATTAAATGAAGAAAAAAATAATAGATTGATTTAAGTAATCAAAGATTCAAGAAGATGGCTCTACATTTACTTGTGTCCACGTGAAATGGTACAAGAAATATACATACGAAATTAAAATGGTGAAGCTTTCTTGGTGTTAGTAAACAAAATGCATTTTTTTGGGATTAGAGTGTCTGCTGTGACTTTAGATAAGAGTGTCTATTGTGCAATTAAACGGTGTCGTTTTGGTCCTTTTTTAAAAATCAAATTTCTTACGGTGCAACTCTTTCGTATTCATCTCGTTCGCCAGCCTTCTCTGTTCTATTTTGTTTCTTCTTTCATAGTCATCTTCGTATCTTTTTCTTGCGCTTCCTTATTGAAGCCTAGGGTTTTTGTTTGAATCATCTTCATCTTCGTCTCTCTGGTACGTGAAATTATGCTGCTCTGTACCTGAATTTCAGTTATTTCACTACTATATAGCTTTTGCGAAGATTTGTGATTTGGGTGGTTGCTATAATTTACAGGGTTTTTCTTGTCTTCTACATTGATGCTCATCTAGGTTGATTAAGTTGATATTGGACCATAGATGTAAATGCATAGTAATTTAGATATGTCGTGTCGTGTGAATGATGATCCTTTGATAATTTACTTTGTCTTGTTTTGCCATTGACGTGTTATTGCGGTACTGCTACACCAACCTAGTATTAGTTAATCATTTGAGGAAAAAGAAAGAAAGAGCAATCTCTCCCACATGCCCCCAAATTTCAAATTTAATTCTTTTGTAAAAGAAAAATAAAAAAAATGACTGAAGCTATTCTTATTGTCGTTGATGCTGCAATTGGTAACTTGCTGCAAGGATGGGATAATGCTACAATTGTAGGTCATTTTCTATTTTCCTATTTGTGAGATTTTTCATTTGGTTAGCCAAGTCAACGTTGCATCTTCATCATTGTTCTTGCTTTATTTTTTGTATGCAGGATCCATTTTGTACATAAAGAGGGAATTTAAATTAGAAAGTGAACCCACATTAGAAGGTCTAATTATGGCTATGTCACTTATTAGAGCCACTGTGGTTACTAGATTAGCTTTGAACCGTTGAGCACTCTTCCTTCTTGTTCTCCACTCTATTCCTCTCTTGTTTGAATTCACAAACAAGAAACTGAATATATAGACTCTTCCATTTTGTTCTTGCTTTTTTTTCGTAGAGTAGTTTTTTGCTTTTTGATCACAAACAACATGTATATTCTCAAATTTTCTATTTTGTTCTTGATACAAACAACAAACTAAATATATAGACTCATGATTCCTTTCTTTTTTCGTCTTTACATGCTATTGATGGAACATTCCCAAATAACAACTATTGAAGACATGAGTGAAAGTGTAGTATCTTTAGATGACGTTGTTGAATTGGAGAAAGAGAGTGATGAGATAAGCGAAGATGGTCCAGTGTGAAATTATGAATCAAGACAAAGATGGTGATTGTACGCAAGACAATTGCCAAGAAATTATGGGAGATGATAGTGAGTTTAATGAGCCTCCTATATTGGGTAGAGTTTTTGACACAGCTGAAGAAGCCTACGATTTTTATAATGATTTTACAAAAGTTAAGGGGTTTGGAATACGTAAGCGTTACTTTAACAAGAGTAGAAGAACACAATAACCACATTTGTTGAATTATGTGTGCTCAAAGCAAGGAGTCAAGAATCTAAATGATAAAAGAATTGATGTTAGCAATGTCAAAAGGAGAAGGGATACAAGGACTGATTGTTTGGGGATGTTCCAAATAAAGTTGGTGAATGGATTATGGAAAGTGGAGAAGTTCAATGATTCACATAATCATCCATTGATTAACACTCCGTCTAAGGTGAATAAGTTTCCTTCTCATAATGACTTACGTCGCTCCGATTTTACTAAATCCATTGTTTCTAAACTTTATGAGGAGGGTTTAACGTCTTCAAAAATCTCAAAGGTGGTGAATGCCATGAATAAATAAGTGAACATCTCTCCGGGTCAAATCAGCACTATTATATCAAGCCAACGTAAGAATAATGTAGGACGAGAATGTCAGGGCATCATCAAACACTTTCAAAAGAAGTCTACTCATGATGGATGTTTTTATTTTGATATGCAGCTGGCAGAAGATGGTACATTAAGAAGCGTCTTTTGGGCGGATGGTAGGTCGAGAGCTTCCTATGGTCAATTTGGGGAAGTCCTTGTCTTTGACGTGACTTACAAACAAGTTCAAGTTTCCTTTTTCCCCTTTTGTTGTAGTTAATCACCATGGGCAATCAATTTTAATTGCTGCTGCTTTGTTAGAGGATGAAACAGAGGCAACTTTTACTTGGTTGTTTGAACAGTTTTGGATATGCATGTTTGATAAGTCTCCTGTTGAGATTATTACTGAACAAGACAAAGCAACTGGGAAAGCATTTGCTAAGATATTTCCAAAAGCACGATATCGTTTTTGTGCATGGCACATCAAAAAGCATGTTTTGGAGCATAGTCAAGCATTACGTGCACATTTTACAGATATTTTTGATGTTGACTTTCATGCATGGTATAAAAGTCGAAGCATAGATGAATTTGAAGACAAATAGGAAGTATTAAGAACTAACTATGATATTAAAGTAAGTAGTTGGTTGGTTAACATGTGTGCTTCACGTAACCATTGGGTAAAGGCATACTTAAAAGATACTTTTTTTGCTGGAATGCCTACAAGTGGCCGAAGTGAGAGCATCAATGCATTTTTTGATGGATATGTCAACTCCAACACAATGTTAAATGACTTTGTTACCCAATATGATAAAGCAATCAAGTCTAGAAGAGATGCAGAAGAAGATGAAGATTTTAAAACTAGAAATACAAAAGCAAATTTGGAGAGTAATCATCCAATTGAAGCAATAGCTGGAGAGCGCAACATAAGAAAACTGTTTGAAATTTTTAAAAAAGAGTGGAGGGCTGCCACACAAGATTATTTTCATGAAAAGATGTCAACAGACGAGCATAATATTAGGTACTGTAATAAAGAGTTATGGGCAATTGTTGATTCCAATTTGATAGAAAGTTCCACTACTCATTGTTCTTGTGCAAAGTTTGAGACTATAGGTGTAACGCCCGACCGCTTCAAGAATCAATGACTATCCCCACATACTAACACGAGACTTTTCAGTTTGCTTTTTCCTCACTCGCACACTTCTCGAGAAAACTTCCCAGGAGGTCACCCATCCCAGAATTGCTCCAAGTCAAGCACGCTTAACTGTGGAGTTCTTCCGATCCGGGTTACCGAAAAGCAGATGCATCTTGTTAGCATAGGTAGTACCAATTAATTCTTATAAGTTATCCCAAACTGTGCAGTCTTATACCTGCACAGCCTTTGGAATCCCTCTCTTTCGGGTGTCGATTCGATTCATTCATGCATGTAACCCCCCGCTGGAAGCCTGTCAGGAGCCGCTCCTTGTCTGCGCCTCTTTGCACCGGCGATCACTCTCTGCCCTCGTCAGCGCTTGGGATGTTACATGCCCACCAGCTTCCGACTGGTTCGTCCTCGAACCACACCGTACTGGATGAGAGGCCCTACTCTGATACCACTTGTAACGCCCGACTACTTCAAGAATCAATGACTATCCCCACATATTAACACGAGACTTTTCAGTGTGCTTTTTCCTCACTCGCACATTTCTCGGGAAAACTTCCCAGGAGGTCACCCATCCCAGAATTGCTCCAAGTCAATCACGCTTAACTGTGAAGTTCTTCCGATCCGGATTACCGAAAAACAGATGCATCTTGTTAGCATAGGTAGTACCAATTAATTCTTATAAGCTATCCCGAACTGTGTAGTCCTATACCTGCACAACCTTTGGAATCCCTTTCTTTCGGGTGTTGATTTGATTCATTCATGCATGTAACCCCCCGCTGGAAGCCTGTCAGGAGCCGCTCCTTGTCTGCGCCTCTTTGCACCGGCGATCACTCTCCGCCCTCGTCAGCGCTCGGGATGTTACAATGGGGATTTTATGCAAACATATTTTGTACATCTTCAAGAAGAAACAAATGATGATCCTTCCTGAAAAGTATATTTTGACTAGATGGACCATGAATGCAAGCTATAAGGCTGAAAATCTTTTGTATGTTCATTCTGAAACAACAACCCGTGAAGTAAGTGAGTTGTCTTTGTTGTCAACTCAGTCGAAGTGCAATTTGGCTATTTCTGAAGCAAAAGATTGTTTTCATGAAATTAGAAGATTTGATGCTATTGTTGATAAATTTATTCAACAACAATTAGAAAGAAAGAGAAAAAGAACCGAAGAAGAAACCATAACCTCAATTGTACCTTCGCAAAGTGGTTTCATTCCTTCTCAAGTTTCACTTAATTATGTTCGAGACCCCACTCAAGCAATCAAAACTAAGGGGCGTCCAAAAGTTGCTTCACGAATAAAATCAAGCATTGAGTTAGCAGTCAAACAACAAAATGCTTGCAGTTATTGTCGAGAGAAGGGTCATAATAAGTCCAGTTGTAAGAAGCAAATGATATTTCTCATATATTTTTCCTATTTATGCTATGTCTTTCCTCTCTGAACTTGATAAAAAAATGTTATTTTTCATTTGTAGATGGATGCTGCAAGAGAGAAGCAAAACGAATAATAGTTTCATTTGAAAGCTGTCCCTGATGACATTGTAGATTTTTCAATGAAGATGAAGCTTTAACATGGCTGAATTGTTTTGACATAGATGAATTATTTTGTGCATAAGTTGAGTTGTAGATGTATTTTTTGAATGTAAGGAATTGCATTGTAAATAAATCTTGATATAGTTTATTTATGGAAAATTTTAAATTATTTTGATGTATCTACAGTTCGCAGTAGTTTAGTGAAGCAAACTGTTTTGCTGAAAATTTGACAGCAAAACAGCAAACTTTGCATCACGCTAAAAATCTAACAGCAATACATCAAACTTTCAATGCACATATATTGAGCTATAGAAATCGAATAGCAATGTACATGGATTTATATTACATTGACATCGATATTCTATAATGACTACTAAAATCAAAGTTACAACTCATACACAATATTCTATAATGACTCTTCCTAGTCATAGTATTTCTTGAAGTCTATGTGAAAGTCTTCTTTTAAAGCATCTTCCATGTTGATTACTTTCATGCCTTTCCTTCTGTACTATGCAATGTTTAAGAACTTCCAATTTCATATGAACATCATCTAGGCTCCTGCTTTTGTTGTCCCAGTTTAAAATAATTTGCACATAGGTGATGCACTGAGTTGAAGAAATGGTATTAGCTCTCCTGAGTTAGACTTTGAAGAAGAAGTAGAACCATGAGAAGCCAAATTGAAGTATTCAGTAACCATTCGCTGGTTTTCCTTTACCACACTAATATCAGGAAATTCAATTCTAAAATACTCAACTGGGTCCAACATAACTTCTGAGATTTTTCTATCAAGCAAAATAACTTCTGATGATATGGATGAACTGTTTGTTGATTCAGATATCAAGTTCATTGTGGAATTGATATCCAAATATGTGTCTAAAGAAAGTGTTAATTGGACAGTTCCAGCATGAGAAAGGAAAAGGTCAGTGGAGGAAAGGCTGTAATCTTCAGTCATATTTCCTTTGCCAACAACTTGTGAAATTGGGACCAAAGCAAAGCCCAAAAGCTGGTCTTCCATGGATTGTACCTAAAGCTTGTCATTCTGACGACTCTGATTGAATGAATCCATTCTAACACGTGTTACTCCTTGAAATTTTGTTTTGCAATCTGCTAGAAAAGAGAAATAGAGTTACAATAGATATTTTGTTCACCAATGATCAGGCATTGAGGCCATGTATAAAAAAACACAACATAAAATATGTAAAGGATTAAACAGAACATCATCTAGGCTCCTGCTTTTGTTGTCCCAGTTCACCTTAGTTCATCTCCTCAATTTTGGCAAGGTTGTAAATTCCTATGTATCTTATTATCTGGAGCTGAACTGAATATAAACAAACAAATATACAACCATACAACTACAATGCATAAAGCAGGACATACTTGATGGTGAATTTACCTTGGAAGATGAGGGTCAGTAAGACGTTGCTGCCATAACTCTTCCATTGACAGAAGCTATACAGATAACAAAATGTAATAGTCCAAAATCCATAACAGCAAATTGACTATTTTTATGAATATAAGCTCATTGCTTGCCTTATCTGGAGCAGGGAAAGATTGTATACACACTTCCTAGTGGTCAAACCCTAATTCTTCTTTTTGTAGAATTAAGGTAATAGCAAAGTCAAATGTGCTCTGGAAGTTAGAGCTGAATTCCTCAACTAGAGTTAGAGCATATATGCTAAAAGAACTTATATTAGTCAAAATGATAATAGCCTACACATCAACCATGTTATACTATAAAAAGGGAATCTTATCATAGATTCATATTCTTCATATTGTATTAAGCTAAATGGCATCTCATTTACCAACTGTTGATATTGCATCAATCTACCTACTGCTCGTAGAACTAAACATTGTCATGCCATAACCTAGCTCAATATAGATACATTTCATTCCAAAATTATAGAAGACATCCTTCTTTTACACATGGGTTTTAACATCAATTAGATATTAGCCTTACTATAATTAATGATAGGGATGTTATATATCATGTATGGTCCTCCAAATGGTTTTTTTTCATCTTATTCCTAGAAGTACTAGTCTGAAATGTTAACCTAAAGAAAATTGCTTGTGCTTAATTCTACCATTTTCTGTTATTATAGACTATTACCTATTTTAGGCATAACTTAACTCAGAATTTGGTTCACTAGGATTGTCTACTGATTTTTCTTATCTCTCAGTTCAAGACAATTAAGTAAAAGATAAACAATTGGAGCTATCCTAACAAAATAAACATGCACATTGGTAAAGAGAAACTAGTGATGTAAAGGCAGGAATAGGATTTGTTAAGAAGAAGAAAATTATTAAACTGCTAACGAAAATAGGAGAAAACTTGTTTATAGAAAACAATGTAACAAGTGGACCAAGAAAAAAATGAATCTTTAAAGTAACTGTAATGAAAAGGTGTAAAAAGAAACAGAAAAAGGAGTTTCAGCAGAGCATTGTCAACAAAGTACAGTGATTAAACACGCTTACTGTTAAAATACCCCACAAGAAGAAAATAGGCATGCAAGCTATGAACAACTTTGAGATAATCAACAGATTTTGGTGCTGCAACCAGTGCCTGGATTTTACACATTATCTCGTAAGCAGTCTAGGCCTAGAAGGTGCTACTGACATCAGTACATGTTGTAATATGAAGAAGATAAAACAGTTTTATCATACATGTCCAATTAACTGTCCCCCAAATACCTTCCCAAATTTTGGAGCATCTGGAGGGGTGATTCCTCGGAAGTTATCTACCTTCCAAATAGAAAAAAGAAAGAAATATAAGGCTGAATTGTAGGGATATATAGCCTGCCATTACTTAATATCAAAGATAAACTAGTACAACCACATCTGCCATTACTTAATATCACAAGATGAGTCATACCATAATTGGGATCATACTCAATTGATTTTGGGATACTAAAAGTAGCGGAAGAGTATGCCATGGTTGGGTAACTCTGAGCAGGGTAATTAGGAGCAAAATACAAACTTGGATCATGCCCATAATATGGTTGATCGTACTCATGACTCTTGTAAGCCATAAAGGCTGGAACTTCATCATAATCATAATTGACAGCATAAGAGTTGAAATCGTACTCACCATAATCAAACCAGAATAGGTAGAGCTGTAATAGGCCATGCTTCATCAAAGACTGAAGATGGAACCTTCAAAAGAGGTTACTTCAATAGCAAATATGACACAGGTTCAGGATCAAGTTTGTTGGAAAAAAAGGGACATGACCATCCAATATCTTCTACTTATAATATATGTTCGGTGGTGATCAAAGAATGCTTTTTCCCTTTACATTTAATTTTATTTTTTGGAAAATAACATTTAATGTTATTTCAGTTCACAGTAAGTCTGCCACCAACCTCAGAATTCTTATCTAAGCTAAAATGTCCACATGAAACTAAGCAAGGAAAGAGTAAAGCTTACTTTATGAAATATTGACAATATAGTTGGTGGTGCCACGCTATTGAGGCAGAACCTATTATAAGACCTGCAACTTACACCAGCTCTGTTCACAGAAGCACCTATGGAAAGAAGCTCCTACTTAATATGTTTATGATGAAACAGGTCCTAAACATTATGTGAATCACCTACTTAATATCCTTCAAAAATATATAGAACCTGTTTAGCACCTCTCAAATCTGCCAAGTAGTTCACAACAGAGTAGTGAATCACCAGCTACATAAATGGGTAAGAATTGATCTTTTAAGTCTCCAAGGCTTTGGAAAAAAAAAACTTAAATTTGTGTAGCTAATATTCTCTACTTGTGGCCTCAAACAGCTCTATCACATAATCCCCCATATGTGCTATTTTAGTGCTAGACCAAGTAAGAATATTCGATGGACAAGTTCTAACCATATGGATATGCATTTCTCATAAAATGATAAGTCAATGCCAGTAAAAGCCTAAAATAATGCTAAACAGTACATACCAAGCCTTAGCAATGAAGTCATTGAAAGTCATCCCTTCCATTTAAGCTGTTATGAGCAGACCCCAGAAGCAGAAAAAATGCAAAAAAGGAGAAAGATGAGTACCTTCCTCGGGTACCAATTCTGAGGAGTGCCCACAATAGTAGCGAAAGAATTGGAATTCATGGATAAATTCACGTACCAGAGATACGAAGATGACTATGAAAGAAGAAACAAAATAGAACAGAGAAGTAAGGTATAACACATCGCAATTCTAAATCAAATACTAAAATATTAAATAAGAATTAAAAGGAAGGATTAGTGAAAATCCTGAAAGTTAGGCCAAAATACAAAGAAAGGACAAAACGGTAATTAGCCAACACGCAATCCTAGGAAGATAAAAATTGAGTAGAGGGTCTCAGATGATAAAAATAACATGGAAATGGATTCAGAACGAAAAATTGAGTGGTTAGGAAAGTTTCAGAAAATTCAGTGAATAGTGTTTTTACCGGGTAAAAATACTGCGGTACAATTGCACTGTAAAGCGTGCCGATTGAGTTTTGAGCTCTAGGTTTTAAATATGAGTTATAAATGGTTTATATAAATAGGGAATATGAATTCTGATGAAATTGATGGAAATAAGTAAGTTTGGGGAAGCGTGCCAACGGCGCGCGCAATAGCTTAAAACAACATTTTCTCCGAATGACCAGAAAACTCTGGATTAATCTGATCAAGTATTACTAAAGGGCAATGGTTAATGTTAAAAATTAGAGTTTCTAAATAGGTTGTGAATTTATGGACGTTTAGCGGAATCGGAGGAAAATTCAAATGAAGTTGAAATCGCGTGAGGTGGCGGTGGGGCCCACCTCACTTAAGTAACTTGCCACATGTGACACCATGTCACTATTCCTCTTCTCCTTCCCCTCTCCCTCTCTCCTACCCGCGGCCTCCATGGCTCCATGAGCAAGTTTTTGAACAAAACTTGCTTCACTCCTAACCACCTCATTTCTCCACCAAATACTTTGACTTTTGTTTTGAAATTCATTGGAAATTGCCTTCTAAACCCATTGGTGGTACTCCTATGCCTTGAAAGCCACT